TGTGTAAAAGCGTCTGTGTGTAAAGGAGTCTGTGTGTAAACGCTTCTGTGTGTGAAAGTGTTTGTGTGTAAAAGGGTGTGTGTAAAAGCGTCTGTGTGTAAAAGTGTCTGTGTAAAAGTGCCGTGTGTAAAAGCGTTTGTGTGTAAAAGCTTTTGTGTGTAAAAGTGTCTGTGTGTAAAATCGTCTGTGTGTAAAAGCGTCTGTGTGTAAAAGCGTCTGTGTGTAAAAGCGTCTGTGTAAAAGCGTCTGTGTGTAAAAGCGTCTGTGTGTAAAAGCCTCTTTGTGTAAAAGTGTCTGTGTGTAAAAGTGTCTGTGTGTAAAAGTTTCCGTGTGTAAAAGCCTCTGTGTGTAAAAGTGTCTGTGTGTAAAAGTGTCTGTGTGTAAAAGCGTTTGTGTGTAAAATCGTCTGTGTGTAAGAGTGTCTGTGTGTAAAAGCATCTGGGTGTAAAATCTTCTGTGTGTACAAGCTTCAGTGTGTAAAAGCGTCTGTGTGTAAAGGAGTCTCTGTGTAAAGGCTTCTGTGTGTAAAAGCCTCTGTGTGTGAAAGTGTTTGTGTGTAAAAGCGTCTGTGTGTAAAAGTCTCTGTGCAAGCGTCCGTGTGTAAAAGCCTCTCTGTGTGTGTGCGTGTGTGTGTGTAAAAGAAAAGCGTGTGTGTGTGCGCGCGTGTGTGTGTAAAAGCTTCTGTGGGTAAAAGTGTCTGTGTGTAAAAGTCTCTCGTCTGTGTGTAAAAGTGTCTGTGTGTAAAAGCTTCTGTGTGTAAAAGCGTCTGTGTGTAAACGAGTATGTGTGTAAAAAGCTTCTGTGTAAGAGCGTCTGTGTGTAAAAGCTTCTGTGTGTAACAGCTTCTTTGTGTAAAAGCGTCTGTGTGTAAAGGAGTCTGTGTGTAAAAGTGTCTGTGTGTAAAAGCGTCTGTGTGTAAAAGCGTTTGTGTAAAAGTGTTTGTGTGTAAAAGTGTCTGTGTAAAAGCGTTTGTGTGTAAAAGCGTCTGTGTGTAAAAGCGTCTGTGTGTAAAAGCCTCTGTGTAATAGCCTCTGTGTGTGAAAGTGTGTGTGTGTAAGTGTGTGTGTGTGTAAAAGCGTCTGTGTGCAAAAAGCGTCTGTGTGTAAAAGTGTCTGTGTGTAAAAGCTTCTGTGTGTAAAAGCGTCTGTGTGTAAAAGCGTCTGTGTGTAAAAGGGTCTGTGTGTAAAAGTCTCTGTGTGTAAAAGGGTCTGTGTGTAAAAGTTTCTGTGTGTAAAAGCGTCTGTGTGTAAAAGCGTCTGTGTGTAAAAGCGCCTGTGTGTAAAAGCGTCTGTGTGTAAAAGCCTCTGTGTGTAAAAGCTTCTGTGTGTAAAAGCCTCTGTGTGTAAAGGAGTCTGTGTGTAAAAGCGTCTGTGTGTAAAAGCGTCTGTGTAAAAAAAGCGTCTGTGTGTAAAAGCTTCTGTGTGTAAAAGCCTCTGTGTGTGAAAGTTTTTGTGTGTAAAAGCGTCTGTGTGTAAACGCTTCTGTGTGTGAAAGTGTTTGTGTGTAAAAGGGTCTGTGTGTAAAAGCGTCTGTGGGTAAAAGTGTCTGTGTGTAAAAGTGTCTGTGTGTAAAAGTGTCTGTGTGTAAAAGCGTCTGTGTGTAAAAGCGTCTGTGTGTAAAAGCCTCTGTGTGTAAAAGCGTCTGTGTGTAAAAGCGTTTGTGTGCGAAAGTGTGTGTGTGTGTAAAAGCATCTGTGTGTAAAAGCCTCTGTGTGTAAAAGCCTCTGTGTATGACACAGGTTATTTCATTGTAGTATGGAAAATCCCGCAGAAATGGCCCAAAAAAGCTCGGTACCATGATGCTGTGTATGACACATGTTATTTCATTTTATTATGGAAAATCCCACATAAATGGCCCAAAAAAGATCGGCACCATGATGCTGTAAATGACACATGTGACAATACTTCACTAGTGAAATGTCTGCAAACGTTTGCACAAAAAAAGGTCCAATACCATAATGCAGTAAATGACACGCGTTATCTCATTTTATTCTGGGAATATCCCACAGAAACTATCAAAAAAGCTCGGTACCATGATGCCGTGTATGACACATGTCATTTCATTTTAGTATGGAAAATCCCGCAGAAATGGCCCAAAAAAGCTCGGTACCATGATGCTGTGTATGACAAATGTTATTTCATTTTATTATGGAAAATCCCACATAAATGGCCCAAAAAAGATCGGTACCATGATGCTGTAAATGACACATGTGACAATACTTCACTAGTGAAATGTCTGCAAACGTTTGCAACAGAGCTCGATGCCATCATGTGCTTGATGTCAAAAACAGAACAGTTTGAGTTCAGGACCATAAAATGTCATATAGAGACACTCTTCAAAAGCTTCTGTGTGTAAAAGCCTCTGTGTATGAAAGTGTGTGTGTATAAAAGCATCTGCGTGTAAAAGCGTCTGTGTGTAAAAGCGTCTGTGTGTAAAAGGGTCTGTGTGTAAAAGTCTCTGTGTGTAAAAGTCTCTGTGTGTAAACGCGTCTGTGAAAGTGTTTGTGTGTAAAAGCATCTGCGTGTAAAAGCGCCTGTGTGTAAAAGCGTCTGCGTGTAAAAGTGTCTGTGTGTAAAAGCGTCTGTGTGTAAAAGTCTCTGTGTGTAAAGGCGTCTGTGAAAGTGTTTGTGTGTAAAAGCGTCTGTGTGTAAAGGAGTCTGTGTGTAAAAGCTTCTGTGTGTAAAAGCGTCTGTGTGTAAAAGCCTCTGTGTAAAAGCCTCTGTGTGTGAAAGTGTTTGTGTGTAAAAGCTTCTGTGTGTAACAGCTTCTGTGTGTGAAAGTGTGTGTGTGTGTAAAAGAAAAGCGTGTGTGTGTAAAAGCTTCTGTGGGTAGAAGTGTCTGTGTGTAAAAGGGTCTGAGTGTAAAAGCGTCTGTGTGTAAAAACCGTCTGTGTGTAAAAGCTTCTGTGTGTAAAAGCGTCTGTGTGTAAAAGCGTTTGTGTGTGAAAGTGTGTGTGTGTCTAAAAACATCTGCGTGTAAAAGCGTCTGTGTGTAAAAGCCTATGTGCGTAAAAGTGTCTAGTGTCTGTGCGTAAAGGCGTCTGTGTGTAAAAGCCTATGTGTGTAAAAGTGTCTAGTGTCTGCGTGTAAAATCTTCTGTGTGTAAAAGCTTCTGTGTGTAAAAGCGTCTCTGTGTAAACGCTTCTGTGTGTAAAAGCGTATGTGTGTAAATGCGTCTGTGTGTAACAGCTTCTGTGCAAAAGTGTCTGTGTGTAAGAGGTTCTGTGTGTGAAAAACAATACGAAGGATAGGATGCAAACTAGTGTTTTGTACTTGTAATATATTGTCTTGATACTACTTGTCTCGCCTGCCTAAAATACATCTTTACTATATTGTCTTGCAATATAGTGTCTCAATACTAACAACAGACGACCCTGCTCTCTCTCTCTCTCCCTCTTTCTCTCTCTCTCTCTCTCTCTCCCTCTCTCTCTCTCTCTCTCTCTCTCTCTCCCCCCCTTTCTCTCTATCTATGTCTCTCTGTGGTTGCAAGACACGTGTCATATGATGCCCTTTACCAAGCAGCACAGTGCATATGCATGGGTTGTCACATGTATCCTCTTCTTAATCAATCTTACTTTTCACAACTTACCCCTCCATAGCTCATATAAAATTCACCAACCATTCACCGACTATTTTTTACGACTAACATACTCAGAGCTGCTTGAAAAACGTCTTTTTCGCTCTCGGGCCAACCGTCGTCTAGTTGATGTTGTCAAGTTCAAAAATTGAGGAAGTCTCGCAGAATTGCTGCGTTTTTTTGATGTTGTCAAGTTCAAAAACTGAGGAAGTCTCGCAGAATAGCTTCGTTTTCAACTTGCAGATAGATAGATAGACAGATAGATAGGTAGATAGATAGATAGATAGAGAGATAGACAGACAGACAGACAGACAGACAGACAACTACAACTACAACAACTACACCTACCACTACACTACACTACAGTACACGACTGCTACAACTACAAATATAAATATACTACGCTCCAGTTCACTACACTAATTACACTACACTACACTAATTAGATCTAATTGCACTACACTACGCCAATTACACTAACAACTACAACAACTACTACCACAACTACTACTACAATTACAACTACACTACACTACACAAATTACACTGCAGCACACGACAACTACAAACACAACTACAACTACAACTACAACCACACTACATTTCAAAACGCTACACTACACTGACTGCATTGCATTACACTACAACTACAACTGCAGCTGCAACTGCAACTACAACTACAACTACAACTACCACTACATTACATTACACTACACTACACATACTACACTACACTAAACTTCACTACACTACACTACATTACACTACACTTCACTAATTACACTGAACTGCGCTACACTACAACTACAACTACCACTACCACTACAACTACAACTACAACTACACTAATTAGACTGCACTACACTACAACTACAACTACAACTACAACTACACCACCGTACGCTAGACTACACTACACTATACCACACTACACTACACAACACTACACGACATTACGCTGCATTACACTACACTAATTACACCACACCACGGCTACAACTGCAACTGCACTTGCAAATACACTAATTACACTACATTACAGCTACAGCTCCACTACACTACACTACAACTACAGCTACAACTGCAAATACAACTAGAACTGCACTACACCACACTACATCCAGCAGTTGTGGTGAGGTGACCGCTGCAACCATTGCAACCATTCCAAAAAACACAACTCCAACCACCTGTCGGTCCATCAGTGGATTCGCTCTGCCATCCGTGATTCACAACGACCAACCTCTCCTATAGGCTTCCTATTTTTGAAACTTCCGCCACCGCCTTGTGCGGTACTACTGGTATAATATAATGTAAGAGAATACACTACAATATCTTATATCATATCGCATTTTTCTGTATACACCACATGTTTTTTTGCACATCGTTTTCCTCATCCTCGTTTCGAAAATGGTTTCGCAGCCCTCTCATGCTGGAGACTTTGGACCATAGCCAAGCAGCAAGTTCATGTCCATTGTCCACTTTGAAGTGTAGACCTGCGGTCTTTTGGTCTTTTGCTGAGCGAAACAGCAGTCAGTGAAAAACAACATGTCATGTAAATACATACCAAATAATTGGCCTCGGTCCTTCCGTTTGATCGACTTCCTGTGAGTGTCGTGTGCTGGAGCGTGTTCATTCTTAACTTTTTCCGCGTTATTTTTGGGGGCTAGAGTCTTGTGTTTGTGCCAACCAAAACAACATCGCAAAGGCAGCTAAATATGCACATATGATATAATATTATGTAATGTATATTGTAAGAATATAGCTGCTGAATCTTTTTCAAACATGTGATTGTCTACTGACTCGGGTCTGCACCAAACTGCCGAGAAACATAGGTTGTCCCCATAAGGATTTGGGCAGTGATTGCCACGGGCAAGATGGGACTGACCATCCCACCATTGAAGAGCACCCAAGTGAACAGAACGAATGAGAGGTTGTAGGGCTGAGACGTGAGGTGGTGCAAAAACCTTCCTGATTTGCTTGAATCGGGAATTATAGATCATCCCAAAGATGGCTTGAACAATGTTGGAACTTGTCAAAAAATGTATCTGGGAAAGCGCCAAGTTTCGAAAACAATCTAACTCGTCTGGATCATAGTCGTTCGAGACAAAGACTGGGATCACCTGCATCATAATCGCGGCAGTGAGGTCTCCAGCAGTCTGGGCCACACCCGCCAAAGTTGCCTCGGAAAAGGGCTGCACAGAAATCGCCGGTGTTTTTCGCCACAGTTGGAGAATCCCTCATGGCCAGTGGTATATGTAGTCTAGTTGTTAACGTGTTATTCTTACTATTAGCATTATCACTACCATTTTACCATTATTTGTAGCATGTTATAGCCATTGGAGACAAACTAGACGACGGTTGGCCCGAGAGCGAAAAAGATGTTTTTCAAGCAGCTCTGAGGATGGTAGTTGTAAAAGATAGTCGGTGAATAGTTGGTGAATTTTATATGAGCTATGGAAGGATATGGTGTGAAAAAGTAAGATTGATTAAGAAGAGGATACTTGGTAAAGAGCATCAGATGACACGTGTCTTGCAACCACAGAGAGAAAGAGGGAGGAGAGAGAGAGAGAGAGAGAAGGAAAGGGAGATAGAAAGAAAACATGGAGAAATATAATGTGAGCAACAAATTTGCGCAGGAGGCTCGGTACCATGAGTCTGCGAATGACATGTGTTATCTCATTTTACTATGGTAATTCCCACACACAATGCGGAAAAAGCTCGGCACCATCATTCCGTGGACGTGAAGAAACGCGACGCTTTTATACAGAGACGCTTTTATACAGAGACGCTTTTACACACAGACGTTTTTACACACAGACACTTTTACACACAGACGCTTTCACACAGAGACGCTTTTACACGCACAAAAACTTTTACACACAGAGGCTTTTACACACAGACGCTTCTGCACACAGACGCTTTTACACACAGACGCTTTTACACACAGACTCCTTTTACACACAGACACTTTTACACACAGACCATTTTACAGACAGACACTTTTACACACAGACGCTTTTACACGCAGATGCTTTTGCACACAAAAGCTTTTACACACAGACACAGAGGCTTTTACACGCAGACAACTTTACACACAGACGCTTTTACACACAGACGCTTTTACATACAGAAGCTTTTACACACAGAAGCTTTTAAACACAGAAGCTTTTACACACAGAAGCTTTTACACACAGAGACCGGACCCGTGAAATCGCAATTTTTCCTCAGTTTTTGACGTTCAACGTCCATTTCGTGCGAAAGGGTCGCGATGGACAAAGTAAAATCGCAATTTTTCCTCAGTTTTTGACGTCCAACGTCCATTTCGTGCGAAAGGGTTGCCCGTGACACCTCAAAATCGCAATTTTACATGAGTTTTTGACGTCCAACGTCCATTTCGTGCGAAAGGGTTGCGATGGACTAACTAGAATCGCAATTTTACCTCAGTTTTTGACATCCAACGTCCATTTCGTGCCAAAGGGTCGCGATGGACAAAGTAAAATCGCAATTTTTCCTCAGTTTTTGACGTCCAACGTCCCTTTCGAGCGAAAGGATTGCCCGTGACACCTCAAAATCGCAATTTTACATGAGTTTTTGACGTCCAACGTCCATTTCGTGCGACAGGGTTGCGTTTCGTGGCGCTCCGGCGGCACCGCCCCCGCCTTAAGAGAGAGATAGAAAGAAGAGCGAGAGGAGATCTGAAGATGTGAAGGTGTGAAGATGTAGATCAGCAGGTGTGAAGGTGTGAAGATGTAGATCTGCAGATGTGAGGGTGTGAGGGTGTGAAGATGTAGATCAGCAGATGTGAAGGTGTGAAGATGTAGTAGATCTGCAGATGTGAAGGTGTGAAGATGTAGATCAGCAGATGTGAAGGTGTGAAGATGTAGATCAGCAGATGTGAAGGTGTGAAGATGTAGATCAGCAGATGTGAAGGTGTGAAGATCTAGATCAGCAGATGTGAAGGTGTGAAGATCTAGATCAGCAGATGTAAGGTGTGAAGATGTATTACAACGGCTGCTTTTTTACGAAGAACCCTTCGCAGGCGCTCTCGGGAAAAACGTAGGCTATGCCACTGCTGTGAGACACTCTCTGCTGGAATCTCCTAAGACACTGTCATGGGAGAACCTGGTGGGTTAGAGACTCTTGAAAGACTTCTTGTGGGACAGACACCCTTGAATCAAGAAAGACAGTCCTGGAAGAGAATCTTGTAAAACTCAAGGATTTGGTGCCCTGGAAGAGACGGAAAAGTACATGCCCAATGTGAGGCACTTCTTTGGAAAATAGGCCTTGGCCGACCTGTGCCTCCTAGGTAAAATATGTAAAATGACAAGTTGTGGGAATTGAAAATCACCAGCGTAATCGTGTCCCAAGCACTGCGCACCCACTGCACAAAAGCACATTTCGTACTGTGTCTGCTTTGCGACTACGTTGCCCAGCATTTCCAGTGTGATCCCCAAGCATGTACAAAACACACTACGTTCATAGTACTGCGCCTGCCGTGCAAACTGGATCCCAACCTAATCCTAGTCTTCTGCCATGCAAACCAAAACACATCTTGCGCGGCTCAACTGCCAAGCGAAACGTATTTCCGCAGACTAACAGCTGTGAATTTTCAGCCTCAGACCAGGGAAGGAACAAACGGCCGGCCTCATTCCAGTTGTGTGCCTCCTTGAAATAGATCGCAAAGGTGCTGAATTCGACCCCATAACTGCAATTGTTGCAGAACGAGCACAGCACGATCAAGAAGCACGGCAACCTGCGAAGCTGCGATGCACCAGCTAGGTTGAAACCGATGAAATACTTGGCATCGTATACTGCATGTACATATGTACATATAAAATATATATATATATATAATTATATATATATCAAAACTACCTGTTTTACTGATGTTTACTGGTGGTTAATACATGTTATTGTAGTCCATAATAGTGATACATAATTGGGATGGGATAGTAATCATAGTCATAATCACTATATATATAGGATGCGGCTCATTTTTCATGGCAGCCGTAAACGTATTAAACGTTGACCAAGAACCAAAGAACCACAGCAGAGCCGCCTGATATCGCTCGGAATGCCAGTTTTAGCCTGGGTTTTTCCCGCGCCGTCGCCATCAAGGTCCTCGAACTCCACACGTACCTTCGTTTTGTCTCCAGTGGCTCCCACGATTCGCGGCTGCAAGGAGCTGCCTTGGAAAAGTGACTTAAAGGGACTCTCCATGATGGATCAAACCGGGGGGAAAACACTGGTTTGTATTTGTTTATAGCATTCCAAGAATGGATTGTAATGATCCCTTTTTTAAAAGGCTTGCAGAACCCCAATATTGACAAGATATAAGACTTAAATGTGCTTTATACACTGCTCGCTTGAACCCTCAATCCGTGCTGCTGGTCAAGAAGTGGTGACTGAAGTCTTGCCCAGCTTGAGACAAAGCGGTCATGCGTGAGAAAGCAGAGACAGCGGTCCTCCCCGTCATGGCTGTCCGCCTGGGCAGAGATTTAGCAGTCTTGCTTCAGAACCATCATGAGAGGCATTGGGGATCATCATCCTACCTGGAGATTCCAAATCCTTACGTGGTAATTACATTCCAGGGGTTCTCGGCGCTTTTGCGCTTTGGTAAGAAACGTTGATTTGAATTGCGAAACACCTGCGACCCCTCAAATGCGGAAAATGCATTTCCAAATATCGAAGAGATTGGTAAAAGTTGAATGAACAATTTTCAAAACCTCCAAGCCCCCAGGTAGCGAAACCGCTCCAACCATTAACCTCCAAGCAGCACAGTTCCAGCGCTGCGCTCCGTTGCTTGCGTCCCTGTAGAGTCACAGCTGCCTCGGGTGTTGCGACTGCCTCGGGTGTTGCGACTGCCTCGGGTGTTGCGACTGCCTCCAGTGGCGCGGCTGCCTCGCACGGCATCCTCGGTCGTCCCATGTCCCATGTCATCCCAAAATGGGAACCTTATCTTGGGCATTATATGTACTGTACATATATATATATATACATGGCGGTTGATCAAAATTCCTTTATCCGGGAACGGCCATTCTTCGCGAATAAAAAAATATCTTTCGCGAATCTTTCGCAAACTCCATGTTTATCTTTCGCGGAACCCATGTTGAGCAACAACTCCTCTTATGAAGATTCATTCAGCACCTGCCAAATCACACCAAATTATCACGGATAACTTCTTCAAAGCCTTGTAAACATGCAGCTAGCATCACGGAATCCCCTTCTCAGGACAGGTTGCTATTGATTAGGCAATTTTTTTTGCAAAGGCTTACTGGGCCACACTCCCTTCAAAATGCACTTTGACTTTCGCCCAGTCCTTCGCAAAATTTTCGCGGAACTTTCGCGATCATACCCCCATCCGCAGACCCCAGCCATCAGCAGGGGGCGCATCAGAGGAACAGGAAACACCAGGGCCTTGGTGTTTGGCTCTCGCAAAGCCTCACTTTTGGAAGCTTGGCTGCTGCATTTCGAGGGTTTCTTGAGACTTCAGAAAGCAACATTAGGCAGTACGAGCGGCAGGTATTTGGCTGTGGCGACGCCTCACCTTCGGAAGCTTGGCTGCTACCGCTACCTATGAAGGGAAAGGTAAATGTGATGTACCATTCTCCTGCCGGACCCCGGGCGGCAGGAGGTGGTAGCCCCTAACAAGCTGTAATGGATACAATGATAATGATTCATAATATCCAACTGTCGCGAAACTTTCGCGAATAAAAAATAAGCCCAAAGAGTATCCCCAACAGCCAGAAACAAAAACAGTTACCAAACACGCAACGAGTGAAGATGTTTATTGCCCAGCCCTTCTTACTCTAGAGGTCGGGCGTGCAAGGCGCAATCGCAGCACAAACACTTTATTAAAAAACGCTTTTCCAAAAGCGTTTGCAATACTTTGGCAGCTGAAGGGCCAATATCCCCGAAGCTCGTGCGAAGGGTTTTTCCCAAAGAACTGCTGTCCACCTCACTCTTCACTTCATCTACCTAACATACATCATCCACATCTCTTGTCTTTTACATCACCTACATCTTCTATACCATCTTCTACACCATCTTCTCTACATCTACATCTACCTCTACATCTACACCATCGCCATCATCACCTACACCTGTCTCACCGACATTGTCTACACCACACCACCTACACATTCTTCCATCAACTTCATCTATATGACATGCCTGATCTACAACACATACATTACCTACATCATCATCTACATCACTACATCCTCTACATCACCCACATCACCTACATATTCTGCACCATCTTCTCTACATCATCATAATCATCATCATAATCATTATCATTTTCATCATCATCATCATCATCACCATCATCATCATGACCATCATCATCATCATCACCATCATCATCATCATCATCTATCTCACCTATATACACTGTTTACAGTACCTACCTACACATTTTCCATCAACCTCATCTACATGACATGCATCACCTACAACGCATACATGACCTACATCATCATCTATATCACTACATCCTCTACATCACCTACATCTTCTAATCTATCTAACCTCACATCACTTACAACATCATCCTCATCATCTACAACATAGACAACATCACCTACATCAGCTACAGGTGATCAACTTCTACGGAACTCCTACAAATCTTGAGAAATGTCATTTACACAGGACTTGACTTGCAGGTGATCCACTTCTACTTGAACTCCTACAAGACTCCTGCAAGGTCATTTGCACAGAAATTGTTACACTGGAGTTGCTCCACAGGAGTTCAGGCAACTTCCAGGTGATCAAATTGTATCTGAACTCTTGCAAATCAGACTTCTCCAGTTCTTCTATTTCTCTCCGGCGGCAGGGACAGCCAGCCAGTGGCTTACGAAACGTTACCCTCTGCGGCGTGTCGGACACCCAAACGTGTGGCGAAATGCGGGTCTTGTTTGTCCTTGGGCAACCTTCTGCGGAGATCGCGCGTGTCGGATGGGCCAACATGTGGTGTGGTGAAATGCGACACTTCTTTGCGTCTGCGGAGATCGTGCATTTCGGACGCCAAAACATGTGGTGGAATGTGAGTTTATTTTGGGCCCGGGCAACCCTCTGCAGAGATCGCGCAGGTCGGACATCCAAACATGTGGCAAAATGCAAATTTGGTGAGGCCCGGCGCAGGGTCAACCCAACCATCAAAAACTTGTGTAAAATTGTCATTTTGAAAGTTCAGCTGCAAGCGTGGCATGGAAGTCAAACGGCAATAACTGTGGGAAAACTACGCTTTTTTAATGTCAGATGCAAACGTTCAAGAATTGGTGTAAAATTGCGACCTTACCGATTTTGAAACGTCAGGCACAACCGTTTCGCGCGAAATAAAAATTATATAAAATTGCGATTTTACAAGGTCAGGCGCCACCCTTTCAAGCAAAATGACTGCCCAACATCAAAAATGTTTGATTTTCCAACGCCGGATGCAACCCTTTCGCACGATATGATGGCCGAACGTCAAAAACTCAAGTAAAATTGTGACTTTTTAAAGCGTGTAAAAGCTGCTCTGTGGAATCGGTTTTTCTGTGGGAAAGCGTCTGTGCGTAAAGGCTTCTCTGTGTAAAAGCTTCTGTGCGTAAAAGCTCCGCGTGTACAAGCTTCTGTGTGTAAAGCCGTCTGTGTGTAAAAGCTCCTGTGCGTAAAAGCTTCTCTGTGTAAAAGCTTCTGTGGAAAAGCTTGTGTGTGCAAAAGCTTCTGTGTGTAAACGATTCTCTGTGTAAAGGCTTCTCTGTGTCAAAGCTTCTGCGATTCTCTGAAAAACAACCTGCATGTGCCTAAAAGCTCTGTGTGTATAGGCGTGTATATGTCAAAACGTCTCTGGGTAAATGCTTCTGTGTGTAAAGGCATCTGTGTTCAGAAGCTTCTGTGTGTAGAAGCATCTGCCGCATCTGTGTGAAGAACTTTTGTGTAAATGCCTCTGTGTGTAAAGACCCGTCTGTGTAAAAGCTTGGGCATTTGCGTGTTTAAAGCTTCTGTGTGTATAAGATTGTATAAGCTGCTCTGTGCAAGGGCCTCTCTCTGTGTAAAAGCTTCGGTGTGTAAAAGCTGCTCTGTGTAAACCCTGCTGTGTGAACAAACTTCTATGCACAAAAGCATCTGTGTGCTCTGTGTGTAAAGGCGTGTGTGTAAAGCTTTTGTGTGTGCACATGCTTCTGTGTAAAAAAGATGCTCTGTTTGGATGCTTCTCTGTGCAAAAGCTTCTCTGTGTAAAGCTTCCGTGTGAAAACCTCTGTGCGTAAAAGCTTCTGTGTGTAAAGGCCTCTATGTGTAAAAGCGTTTGTATAGAAAAGCTTCTTTGTCTAAAGGCGTCTGTGTGCAAACGCCGCTCTGTGTAAAACTTGCTCTGTGTAGCGGCTTCTCTGTGTAAAAGCGTTTGTGTGTCAAAGCTGCTCTGTGTACAGGCATCTGTGTGTGTGTGCAAAGGCGTCTGTGTGTAAAAGCTTCTGTGTGTACAAGCTTCTCTGTGTAAACGCCTCTCCGCGTCAAAGCTTCGGTGTGTCAAAGCTGCTCCGCGTAAACGCTGCTCTGTGAAAACAAACCTGAGTGTAAAAGCCGGTCCGCGCAAAGGCTTCTCTATGTGAAAGCTGCTGTATATAAAAATCGTTTGTGCGCAAAGTTTTTTCCCGTAAACGCTTGTCTGTGACAAAGCTTCTCTGTGCAAAATCTTGTCTGTGTAAAAGCTTCTGTGTGTAAAAGCTGCTCTGTTTAAAGGCTTCTCTGACTAAAAGCTTCTGAGTGTAAAAGCTTCTGTGTGTAAAGGCATCTCTGTGAAAAAGCTTCTGTGTGAAAGCTTTCTTGTGAAAAGGCGGTAAACGTTTCTGTATCTAAAAGCTTCTTTTTGTAAGGCGTGTGCGCGTGTGTGTTTGGAAAAGCTCCTGTGTGTAAAAGCTTGGGCATCTGCGCATTAAAGTTCCAGTGTGTAAAAACTTCTTCGTGAAAGAGCGTCTGTGTGTAAAGCTGCTCTGTGTAAAGGCCTCATGTGGTAAGGCTTCTTTAGAAAAGGCTTTTCTGTGTAAAAAGTAAAAGCTTCTGTATGTAAAAGCGTCTGTGTGCAAAAGCGTCTGTGTAAAAGCTGCTCTGTGTAAATCCCTCTCTGTGCAAAGGCTTCTGTGTGTAAAATGAAATCTGCGTAAGTTTTTCGCTGTGCAAAAACAACATGCCTTTTGATTCTGACTGTCGCTCAGGTGCCAGCCCTGGGGCAAACCCTCTGTGGGGACAAAAAAGGCATGAAACCGTGGATATATGACATTTGACTCGCGTCAGCTATCATTCATCATCATCTCCATCGCCATTCATCCTCGTCATCGTCATCGCCATCATCATTGTCGTCGTCATCATCACCATCATCATCATTTTTCTTGTGTATTATCTTCACGTCTCCTCCCTCCTGCTTTCTTTCAGGCCACGCTGTCGTCTAGTGTTTTCATGTGCGAGTGCCGTATCATTATTTGAAGCAAATCTAGTTCTTGAATCTCTCTGTTTCGTTATTAGAACAAGTCTTCAAACTTTGCAGTATTCTGTTGTTCAGTGTTCTTGGAACCTTGCCTGGGCAACTGTTCTTGGACACGTTGCTTGACACTTGTTTATCGGAACCTTGCTTGGGAACCTGTTCTTGGGAGCCTTGCTTGGGAACCTGTTCTTGGGAGCCTATTCTTAGGAACCTGCTCTTGGGAGCATTGCCTGGTAACCTGTTCTTGGGAACTTTCTCTTGGGACCCTGTTCTTGGAAACTTTGCCTGCTTGCTTCAAACCTGTTCATTGGGACCTTGCTCGGGAACCTGTGTTGTTTTCGCATTTGTTTCGTAACTTTGCTTGGGAACCTTGTTTAGGAACCTGTCCTTCGGAACCTTGCTTGGGATTCTGTTTTTGCTTCCAACCTTGCCTGCGCTGTTCTTCGATTTGTTTCTTTGCAAGTTGTTCTTGGAAAGCTGTTCCTGGGAACATGAGCAACCTGTTCTTGGGAACCTTGCTTGGAAACCTGTTTGTTGAACCTTTCTTGCAACATTGCTTTGGAACCTTTCTTGACAACCTTGCCTGTCAACCTATTATTCGAAACCTTGCTGGCGAAACTGTGATTGAAAGCCTTGCTAAGGAACCTTGCTTTTGCTTGGGAACGTGTTCGTGGGAACCGTGCTGGCAACCAATTGCTCCGAACCTTCCTAGAGAATTTGTTCTTGGAACCCGAACCTGTTCTTGGGAACCTGTTCTTGGAACCCTTGCTCGGGAACCTGTTCTTGCGAAGCTTGCTTGCAAACCTGTCCTTGGTAACCTTGCTTGGCGACCTGTTCGTGGAAACCTTGCCTGGGAACCTGTTCCCAAGGACCTTGCTTGGTAACCTTGCTACACTGCAAGGAAACCTGTTCTTGGAACCCTTGCTTGGGAACTTGAGGCACTGTCCTTGGAACCCTTTCTTGTGAGCCTGTTCTTGCGAACTTTGCTTGGGAACCTGGTCTTGCGAACCTTGCTTGGAAACCTGTTACCAGGAACCTTGCCTGGAAACCCCTTGCTTGCGAACCTATTCTTGGAAACCTTTTTTGCAACCTTTTTCTTGGAAACCTGTTCCTGGGAACCTTGCTTGGGAACCTGTTCCTGGGAACCTTGCTCGGCAACTGTTTCTGGAACCCTTCCTTGGGAACCTTGCCTGGGAACCTGTTTTTGGGAACCTGGCTTGGGAATCGTTCCTGGTAACCTTGCTTGCGAACTTGTTCCTGGAAAAATTGCTCGGAAATCTTGTTCCTGGGATGGCTGAAGACCCCAAGCTTACGCTGTTGGGGAAAAACTTGTTCATGGAAATTTTGCTTGGAAACAAGCTCTTCCTGGGAACGCTGCTTGAGAGCCTGTTCCTGCGAGCCTTGTTCCTGCCTGCAACCTTGCTTGGAAACGGTTCCTGGGACCTTGCTTGGGAACCGTTTTAAGGAACCGTACTTGCAAGCGGTTCCTAAGAACTTAACCTAGCTTGGGAACCTCTTCCCGGATACCTGCTTGGGAGCCTCTTCCTGGGAACTTGCTTGGAAACTTCTTCCTGGGAACCCTTGCTTGCGAACCTCTTCCTGGCAACCTTGCTTGAGAACCTCTTCCTAGCAACCTTGCTTGGGAACCTTTTCCTGGAAACCTTGCCTGGAACTTTTTCCGGGAACCTCACTTGTGAACCTGTTCTTGGGAAACTTGTTTGGGAACCTGTTCGTGGGAACCTTGTATGGGCACCTGTTCCTGGGAACCTGTGGCTGGGAACCTTGCTTGGGAACCTCTTCCTGGGAGCCTTGCTTGGGAACCTTGCGCAGTGCGGGTTTCGCTGCTCCGACCTGCTCCAAGACCTTTACTATGGCTGAAGACCCCAAGCTTACGCTGTTGGGGAAACATGTTCCTGGAAATCTTGCTTGGGAAACGGTTCCTGGAAACCTTGCTTTAAAAAAAACTGAAATCCTTGCTTGCAAAACCTGTTCCTGGGAACGCTTGACAACCTGTTCCTGGGAACCTTGCTTGGGAACCTATTCCTGAAACCTTGCTTGGGAACCTCTTCCTGGGAGCCGTGCTTGGGAATCTGTTCCTGGGAACCTGTGGAACCTCTTCCTGGGAACCTTGCTCGGGAACGTGCTTGGGAACCTTACTGGTGAACCTGTTCTTGGGAACCTTGTATGGGCACCTGTTCCTGGGAACCTTGCTTGGGAACCTGTTCCTGGGAGCCTTGCTTGGGAACCTTGCGCAGTGCGGGTTTCGCTGCTCTGACCTGCTCCAAGACCTTTACTATGGCTGAAGACCCCAAGCTTACGCTGTTGGGGAAACATGTTCCTGGAAATCTTGCTTGGGAAACGGTTCCTGGAAACCTTGCTTTAAAAAAAACTGAAATCCTTGCTTGCAAAACCTGTTCCTGGGAACGCTTGACAACCTGTTCCTGGGAACCTTGCTTGGGAACCTATTCCTGAAACCTTGCTTGGGAACCTCTTCCTGGGAGCCGTGCTTGGGAATCTGTTCCTGGGAACCTTGCTTGGGAACCTTGCTTGGGAACCTGTTCCTGTGAACCTTGCTTGGGAACCTCTTCCTGAGATCCTTGCTTGGTAACCTCTTCCCGGGAACCCTTGCTTGGGAACCTCTTCCTGAGAACCTTGCTTGGGAACCTCTTCCTGGAAACATTGCTTGGGAACCTCTTGCTGGGAACCCTTCCTGGGAAACCTTTTCCTGGGAACCTTGCTTCAAAACCTTGCCTGGGAACCTCTTCCTGGCAACCCTGTTTGGGAAGCTCTTGCTGGGAACCCTTGTTTTGGAACCTTTTTTCTGGAAACCTTGATTGGGAACCTGTTCCTGGGAACCTTGCTTGGGAACCTGTTCCTGGGAACGGGAACCCTTGCTTGGGAACCTCTGGAGCCTTGCTTGGGAACCTTGCTTTTGGGAACTTGGGAACCTTGCCTGGGAACCTTGCTTGGGAACTTGTTCCTGGGAACCTTGCTTTGCCTGGGAACCTCTTAGGAACCTGTTCCTGGGAACCTTGCTTGGAAACCTTGCTTGGGAACCTCTTCCTGGGAACCTCTTGGGAACCTTGCTTGGGAACCTGTTCCTGGGAACCTTGCTTGGAAACCTTGCTTGGGAACCTCTTCCTGGGAACCTCTTGGGAACCTTGCTTGGGAACCTGTTCCTGGTAACCTTGCTTGGGAACCTGTTCCTGGGAACCTTGCTTGGGAACCTGTTCCTGGGAACCTGGGAACCCTTGCTTGGGATTCTCTTGGAAAAGGAGACCCCTTCCAAGCGTGCGCGGTGCGGATTTGGCTGCTCCGACCTGGTCCGGGACCTTTACTATGGCTGAAGACCCCAAGCTTACGCTGTTGGGGAATTATCTTTCGCGAACTCGGAAAAGAACTTTCGCGAGGGTTTCCAATATAACATGCACGGTTTTCGCAATTAAAACTCCTTACAAGGACCTTTAGATCAACCATCGCATATATATATATATATCTATATATATATACATATTATACATATAATATAATATATATATATAATATTTAATATATTATATAATATAATTTTAAAACAAATATAATATATAACATATAATATATAAAATAAAATATATAATATAATATAATATAATATAATTTAATATAATATAATATAATATAATATATAATATATAGTAAATAATATATAATATGTAAAATATAATATTCAATATATGATATATAATATATCATATATCATCTATAATATAAATTTAAAAAATATAATAACATTTTTTAATATAATATAACATTATTTAATATAATAATATTTAATAATATATATATACGATATATATATATATATCAATATATATATATATATCAATATATATATATATATCAATATATATATATATATATTATTGGTATATATGTCTATATATTTATATTTTCTATTGTATATATATGTATATATATCAATAAATATATATATTATGTGTATGTCTATATATATATTCTATTATATGTAATATGATATTTATCATTGTATATATTCTTTATATATTATATTATATTATATAAATGTCTATATATTATATTATATATATCATATATATATATTATTATATATATATATATATTATATATATATTATTTAAATGCCTATTACATTGATATTAACGGTGGCTCCAATATGGAGAATATCCATGAATATCCAACTCTTGACCGGGGCACGCATGAATTTGACCAAAAACTGCAGACATTCCTGACTTTGGGGACTTGATCTATTTGGCAGGAAGCTACAATGGCTACAGTGTTCCAGCTTAAGTTTAGCCACGTGCAATGCAATTCCTGGTTTGAAACCCTTCTTTACTAGAAAGACCTACCGGAACAGCGTCGCGTCTTGGAAGGGTTTCGCAATGCGACACAAGGTTCCTATAAATATCATTTCTGCATTCTTACAGGCTGGTGCAACTCTGGGCCTCAGTTTGTTCTTTTGTAACTGTAACCCACTTGTTCGTTTCCATAATTTGTATAAATCATTATAAATGTAGATTTGATTTTCTCAGCTCTTAGAAAAAGTACGAAGCTGTTTGCAATGAAGTGAGCGCAGATGAGTGTGTTGGTGAAAGAAGAGAAGCCTGCGGCCCAGATTCTGACTGTGCCCCTGGACGAACTGCGTTGAACCTTAGCTATCAAACGCTGCGCAGGTGTTGCTGGGTCCGATGCGAGTTATATAGCCAAAAAATCCCAGAAACATATATTCCAGATGGTCGTCATGTTTTGAAAATCGAGTTCTGAGATTTCTTGGTCAGTTCAAAGCTGGGCCAAGTCAGCAAGGTTCAGGTCAAGATGCCAAGGGCAGTCTAGCACAGAGCTGAGACTAGAGTGTGAAATGAGCCAATCCACAAAAGATAATCATCCCAGAAATGATTGAAAACACCAAGCAGATCCAAGCAGTACGGCGTATATGGCTGCTTACAGCACGCGACAAATGCCTGGAGTGATCCAAAATGCTGTAATTACCAGCATGATCTGACCTGGCAAGAAGAATCCTCCAAGACATCTTCAACACAAATGAATACAAATGACACATATTGATAAGAATGCATGGCTAAACATCCAGCAAAGTGGTTTGCCAGCTTTGCGTGCCATGTGGCTCCTCGCTCTTGGTGCTTCCCCTCTGTTCAGAACTTCTGTGACTTTCTGCCTCAGTCCCTGACACCTCCTTAACCACCAGCTCTTCCGAAGCCACAGCACCAGGCAATTCTATCTGCCTTGGTGGACCCAATGGCACCTCAGGCACGACTGCCAAGGACACTTTCTTGGCGTCACGGCCTTCACCAGATCCCACAATTGGTGTTACTTCCCCAGCTTCTGAGCGACTTGAGACAAATTCCACGAAGGACTTTCGAATGGGTGGCTGCATGCAGAGCACAAGAAGCAGGAGCCCTTGGGAAATGCAGTGGTAGGTGCACACCCCTGTCCAGCCGCCCAGGTCGTACAGAATGCCTCCTATGGTGCAACCACTTGCTAATGCAATGGTGGAAACGGACAACAAAGTGGAAGTGGCCTGTCGAGCCTGGGATTCCGAGGCACCAAAGGTATCGAACGCAATCCCTTCGATAGCAGCAGTGGGGTCAAGGCACATCAACACCACAATTTGCGCGAAGATGGCCCATAGGCTGGTTTGGTAGATCAAAGCAAGGACCGCAAAAACTAAATGGATCACTGCCATTGGCACAATCAACCAGTAACCTCCTCGCAGTTGAAGCTGCTGAGTTCCCGCGCGCAACAGACAGCCAGAAGCGATCGCCAGACCGCCCGTCACAAGTGACCATTCGTTTTCGGCAAAATGTAGACTGTAGCCTGGCCAAAGGAAGCCGTTGATTGTGCCATTCAGGAGTGGCAGCAGAATGCAAACAAAGACCTCAGGGATTTGTTGATCCGCGTACCCCCACAAAAATAACAACACTCCCCGAGGTTAGCCAGTGGATTAACTGGATTAACTACTGCCGAAATCCGCGAACCCTAGCCGACAGCAAGAGGGGGGCATCAGAGAAGTTAAACAAATCCAGATAGTCCAGGAGACGTATGAGCAATTGCATGGAAGCGTCTCGAGGTCGTCAAGTGCATCGACGAAATCTTCTTCGGGTTCTTCGTCAGGATCTGCACCATTATCTTGGCTCATGATCGCTGAACAAGGCACATCGAAAGTGGGGTTCCCAAATGAGAGGTAAGTTGGCTACTCTAAGCCAAGTGGGGCAAGTTGGTGACTATATCTCTCCACTTGCATGTCTTATGAACAAACCCACTGAAATTGGGAGCCCCACCTAGCGCTTTCCAGTCTCTCGAGCCAGCTGAGGCTCTGGGTGCAAGTGATACCCCATCAATGCTATCCCAATGTCATCCGATGTCCGCCCTATGCGATTCAGGGTCGGCACCCATTGATATGGGTTTGCCTGCAAATAGGCCCCAAAATCCAAAAAGGCCATGATCAATATGAATTAGTACTATTACATACAAGTATCATCGCATTAAAATTGGCAATTTCTTCAATTTGGGGGTATGTCCCACCTTCCGAAGACACATGTGTTTTTTTCTGAACCATCGTCAAGTGGTTAAGTTGCATGAGGATCTCCACCCTCATGAGTTATTCAAGGTGTTTCTGAAATGGCATTCCCCACTCAGATTTTGTTTGGCCGTTCGGGAAGGCCGATGTCGGTGATAAATTATATATATATATTACATATTATATCATATATTCTCTATTTTTTACGATATATTATTTTAAACATTATATATATATTATAAATAATATATGATATATTTTATATAATATGTCAATGATATATAATGTCTTATAAATTATATTGTTGTGAAGCATGTGTATATTTAAATTATATTAAATAGTTTATATTTAAAATCAAAAATTATAAATCATATATTTCATACTATATACCATGTATTAAATATTAAATATTATATGTATAGTATTAAATATTATCTATTGTACATTATTTTCTACAGTTTTTAAAACCATATAGGATATACTATATGTCATGTATTAAATATTAGTTTTAAAATACTACATATTTTACATTAGGTATTATGCCTTATATTTTTTATATTCATTTTTATGTATAATTATATATATTGCATAATATATATATATATTATATTATTATATAGGTAAATTTATTTACTATATCACATATTAAATTATATATGTTATCGTAAATATAATGTATATATTATATATATATATAAACATTATGTATTGAAAAACTGTTATGTATATATATATATTATGTATTATCGAAGGAAGTTTAGAAGTCAAACTTCCGACAATATGGACAGATGGTAAAGCAGAGATGGGAAGAGTCAGAGAAGAGAAGAGAAGAAGAAAGAAGATCAAAAAAGAGAAAGTCGCAGAAGAAAGAAGATCCAGGTGCGCGTAAAGGTAGGAAAGTCGCGAAACACTGTGTTTTTCCAATGATTTGTGGCTCCGGAGGGTCGAAAAGTAGGCTCGCTAAAGCGGCGGTTGCGGAGCCATCTGGCCAGATGAGAGATGAAAAATTGCACGCGTTGTGGCACGAAGCACATTTCCAAGTCAAACTGTAATGAAAGGACCGGATAACCCCACAAGTCAACTTTTTCCAATAATCAGAAAAAGTGGCTGAAACGGCACGGAGAAAGAAGAAAGGACAAAGGAGATGGTGGAGGGTCGATCATTTTAAAAGTTGTATGTGAAGAGTTGTGCGTGACAAAGTTGTGTGTGAAAGAGTTGTGTGTGACAAAGATGTGTGTGAGAGAGTTGTGTGAGAAAGATTGTGAGTGAAAGAGTTGTGTGTGAAAGATTGGTTGCGACTAAGTTGTGTGTGAAAGAGTTGTGTATGACAAAGTTGTTTGTGACAAAGCTGTGTGTGAAAGAGTTGTGTGAAAGATTGTCTGTGACAGGGTTGTATAAAGTTGTGTGTGAAAGAGTTGTATGTGACAAAGCTGTGTGTGTGTGACAAAGTTGTCTGTGACAAAGTTGTGTGTGAAAAAGTTGTGTGTGACAAAGCTGTGTGTGACAAAGATGTGTGTGACAAAGACGTGTGTGAGAGAGAAGTTGCATTTGAGAGAGATGTGTGTGAAAGATTGTGTGTGACAAAGTTGTGGGTGACAATGTTGTGTGTGAGAGAGAGATGTGTGTGAAAAAGTTGTGTGCGAAAGAGTTGTGTGTGACAAAGAATGTGTGTTTGACAAAGTTGTGTGTGTGACAAAGTTGTGGGTGACAAAGTTGTGTGTGACAAAGTTGCAGGTGACAAAGTTGTGTGTGACAAAGTTGCGGGTGACAAAGTTGTGTGTGAGAGAGATGTGTGTGAGAAAGTTGTGTGCGAAAGAGTTGTGTTTGACAAAGTTGTGTGCGATAAAGTTGCATGTGAGAGAGAGATGTGAAAGATTGTGCGTGACAAAGTTGTGCGTGACAAAGTTCTGCGTGACAAAGTTGTGCGTGACAAAGTCGTATTTGAGAGAGATGGACTAACTTGCAGCGTCGTGGATGTCACCAAGTGCCACGCCTGCCACGCCAAACAAGGTCGATGTCGCCAAGCGCCACGCCTGCCACGCAAAACGTAGGTGGATGTCGCCAAGTGCCACGCCTGCCACGCCAAACGAAGTGTTGTTGTTGTTGTTGTTGTTGTTGTTGTTGTTGTTGTTGTTGTTGCTGTTGCTGTTGCTGTTGCTGTTGCTGTTGCTGTTGCTGTTGCTGTTGCTGTTGCTGTTGCTGTTGCTGTTGCTGTTGGTGTTGTTGTTGTTGTTGTTGGTGGTGGTGTTGGTGTTGGTGTTGGTGTTGGTGTTGGTGTTGGTGTTGGTGTTGGTGTTGGTGTTGTTGTTGTTGTTGCTGTAGTAGCTGTAATGTATCTAGTGTAGTGTAGCGTAACTAGATGTAACTAGTGTAGTGTAGTGTAATTAGTGTAGTGTAGTGTAATTAGTGTAGTGTAATGTAGCGTAGTATATGTGTATTTGTAGTCGTAGTAGTAGTGTAGTGTAGTCGTAGTTGTAGTTGTTGTTGTAGTTGTCTATCTATCTATCTATCTATCTATCTATCTACCTACCTATCTAATTATGTATCTATCTATCTATCTATCTATCTATCTATCTGTCTATCTATCTATCTATCTATCTATCTTTCTGCAAGCTTGAAAACGAAGCTATTCTGCGAGACTTTCTCAGTTTTTGACCTTGACAACGTCAAAAACGCAGCAATTCTGCGAGACTTCCTCAATTTTTGAATTTGACAACTTCAAAAACGGAATAATTCTGCGAGACTTCTTCAATTTCGGAAGTTGACAACATAAAAAACGAAGCAATTCTGCGAGACTTCCTTCAATAATGGAAAGTTGAGTGCAGAGCTGACGGCCTCGTACCAATGCGTTTTGCGATTTTTCCACTCCATCTGTCTAAAGTACTGTGCCTCGAAAAAGTGATGCCCGGTATTACGAAGTGCTGCACCTGTCATGCAAAATCATCTTGGCAAACCTGAAGATTTGATGCTCCAAAATGCAACCTTTCTCAGGAAAGCAGCGCCCTGACCTGCTGACATCTCTGATGAACATGTCTCTTGTACTGCGCCTGCCACGGAAAATGCATCTTTGCAGATCCTCTTCGAAATGTGCTTCGCGCCACAGCGCGTGCAATTTTTCATCAATCATCTGGCCAGATGGCTCCGCAACCGCCGCTTTAGTGAGCCTACTTTTCGACCCTCCGGAGCCACAGATCATTGGAAAAACACAGTGTTTCGCGACTTTCCTACCTTTTCGCGCACTTGGATCTTCTTTCTTCTGAGACTTTCTCTTTTTTGATCTTCTTTCTTCTTCTCTTCTCTTCTCTAACTCTTCCCATCTCTGCTTTTCATCTGTCCATATTGTCGGAAGTTTGACTTCTAAACTTCCTTCGCCAACTACAAAACTACAACTACCACTACATTGCACTACACTACACTACACTACACTAATTACACTACACTACACTATTTTACACTACACTACACTAGACTGACACTGTACCACACTACAGTACACAACACTACAGTACACTACACTACACTGCACTAATTACATCAGACCACAACTACAACTGCAACTGCAACTAAACTACACTAATTACACGACATTACAACTCCACTACGCTACACCACAGCTACAACTACAACTGCACTACACCACATTACATCCAGAAGTTGTGGTGAGGTGACCACTGCAACCATTGCAGCCACTCCAAAAAACACAACTCTAACCAGGTTTCGGTCCATCAGTGGATTCGCTCTACCCTCCGTGATTTACAACAACCAACCTCTCCTATAGGTTTCCTATTCTTGAAACTTCCGCCACCGCCTTGTGCGGTACTACTGGTATATCATGTACTATAGATTATATATTATATATGTTCTATATTATATTTATATATTATATTTTAAATATCATATCATATAAATATATATGTATATATTTATTATTTATATTATATTATATACATACTATACATTATATATTATATATATTATATATTATATATTATATATTATATATTATATATATTAATAAATATATATATATATTTATATACATCTATTATACATTATATAAAATATATACTATATATTATACATACTATATATTATATATACTATATATATATTATATATTGTATAGGAAATATGATATATACTATATATTAAAAATACTATATATTAAATTTTGTATATTATATATTGTATTGTATAGATTATATACATTACATATTATATATTTATATTATATATTATTTATTAAATAAATATATATATATATGTATGTATATTCTATGTATATATATATTATATACATTATATTATATATATACTATATATTATATATACTATAAATTATATATTGCATATATATTATATATTAAATATTATATGTATATTATATATATATTATATTATATTATTTATTATATGATATATATATATATTATAAACATTATATATTATATATTATATGCTATATATTATATATTATATATTACATATTATATATTGAATATTTAATATTATAATATAATATATTATATATATATCATATATATTGTATATCATATATATTGTATATGTATATATATATACGTCATATAAAAATATATATATATAATATAATATATATAATATAATGTGTACAATATATATATAATATATATAATACATTATCTATTATATATAATGTATATCATATATTATCGACTATATATATTGTATTTCATATATTATCTATTATATCAGATCTTATGTAGTGTATATTATATATATTATATATATATTATGTATATATATATCATATAATATATATATCATTATATATTTATTTATATATATATCATATGTTATCTATTATTTATCATATATCATGTAGTGTATATTGTATATTGGATATTATATAGTCTATATCATATATCATATATTATATATCATGTATTATGTGTATATATATTACATATCAATGAATCACTGGATTGGTGGTTCAAGGCAGATTTACAGGTCATGATTTGTACCCCCGAATACAAGGCTTTCATGGGTTTTCTGTAAGGTTTCCCTCAACCAATTCCCGGCGATTAAGTTTTTTTTCCCTGGCCTTCCATGGATATGTTCAAAGTCTAGGTCACACCTTGCCACAAGTCTGTGATGATTAGAACCAGTCCAAACGGGTCGGTTCCTCTCGAATTTCCTGGTCTAATCCGGCACGAACTCGAAAGTTCTCTAGCCATCTTCCATGACCACCATGACTGCAGCGATGTGTGGTGCTTCCATCGCCTTGAATCTTAGCATTGATGAGTACAGGTAAGTTGGTTATGTTGGTTGAAAAATATACATCAATTGAGATTCAAAAGCTGGATATAGCTGACGACACCACCTTGTAGGTGCACTGATGGGCGCTGTGCCGGGCACTTCCCATCTGGAATTCCAGAAGTACTGGAGGCTAAAGCAAGCTGAGGCCGCGCAGAACCTGCATATAATGGGCCAAAGCTGAACACAGTTACAGGTAGGCACTCTTAGAGTAGCCCCATTATAGCTGCTGTATGCACTTTGTGCTGACAGCTACATTGATGCCCTTTGAGTCAACAGGGGTTGTGGCATGTCCTTCAAATCACCCGGGCCTGCACCGCCCATGGGAAATCATCTCCAACAAAGAATTAGACCAGCTGATTGTTGCTGGATTTTCGCCATTCAAAACTTAAGTTGGCTCAGATGGGACATAAGTCAAGAACCCCTGTCTCCAACATATGTTGCCACTAGATGAATTCGCCTTAAAATAGGCTAACCCAAGCCACAAAAGTGATATCATGATCATTAAAAAAGCATATATGTATGTATATATATATATATTAACGTAGCAACATAGATGGGGTGGCAAAAAAAATCTGACACACACACACGCAGTTTTCAGACAAAGCGTGTCCAACAGCCGCTCACAAGTTTTGAGTGGTGCTCTTTCGTCCCGCACTTGCCCAGCTACTCACCTAGGGACCAGGCTTGTTGGTCATGGGATCATGGAATCTTGGGATTCTTGCAGAGATTTTTCAGAAACGAAGCACCATAAAGCTGATGAAAAAAATGTGAAAAAAGTGGGAGAAGGGGTGAACTGGGTTTGTCTGAAAACGTGAAGATCATGGAGTACCATGGAATACCCAAAAGAATCACCTTTTGCCCTATCAGAATTGGTGATTTTCAGGGTATACCCCATTTATACCCAATTTTTAGACACATCGAACTGAGTTACCATCCTGGTTGCACATCCACAACGCTGGTGGATTGATTCTGATTGCTTAATAGCCACTGCTATCATCAAGAGAGTCTTGGCCATTGACTACCCTCTGGTAAACTAACTTTATACCAACATAACTATGGAAAGATCCACCATTTTTAGTGGGTAAATCAACTATTTCTATGGCCATGTTCAATAGCTTTTTGTATGTTTACCAGAGGCTAATTGATCCGATCACAACGTTTGCTTGTTCGGTAGGATCGTTGACCCACTTGATCTACAGTATCTTGATCTCATAGGTTTCAAATTCAAACCAACCAAGATAAGGTCAAAGGTTGGCCAAAATGTTCTTCAATTGGCCATATAGGTTGGCCGATTGACTCGCAATGTCAAAACCCTGCTACCCTTGTGATCCTGAGTGACCATCACACAAACAATCTGATTATTATTAACGGACATTAACAGACCGTGACTATCATGGGATTACCATTGATGCTAAATTTTGTGGTGGTTCATTTTGACACATATTCCATATTGGCTTCTCCCAAAAATTGTATCTCCAAACCCACTAGTCAGTCAATCATCATATTGCCAATTCAAAGTCACATCTACTTGGATATACACCATTTTCAGACAACCCTATTGTTGCTTGATATATCCAATGAAAATCCAGTAACGAGTATCTACGTACATCCCATCATATCCCCTATCCCCGGATCCCCGGCACTTTGCCAAGGGCCTGGCTTTTCACCACCTACTCACCACCATGGTGAGGGCTAGTGAGGCTGCTATCCAGATATATCCCCATAGTTTGGCCTGATCAAATTACCATTTCATAATGAAGCGTCTGGGTGAAATCTCCATTTTTGGTGACTTGGATCTGTTGAGCATCAATTTTCTCGTGCATGGCAATATCATCTGTGTATATTTTTCTATCCCACTCTATTACAAGAGGTTTTTGATTTGATCCCAGTATATCCCCATAAAATGGTGTTTTTTCTATCAACATAAGCGTTATATCCATAAATGTGATATCCCACCATATCACCATTTTCTAACACCCCCGGATGACATCTGATGAATGGAATCAGGTTGAAACTGACAGGTATCCCATCCCCATAGCGCAATGACGATGTCCCATCATGTCCCATCATGTCCCATCATGTCCCATCATGTCCCATCATGTCCCATCATGTCCCATCATATCCCATTGTCCCCTTGCGATGGTTCCCTGTTGAAAGCCTCAAGATCCAAAGCGACCAAGTCGCTCTCCGTTTTCCCAAGCGACGACTGCGTTTCTCCTCTGCAGTCTCGATATCATCTCCAAAGCCCAGACGAGCACAGAACCTGAGGAGGGAAGCGAACCTTGGAGTATCGTCCCACGATGCGTAACTGGTGACCATATTTAAGTGCTGAATAGCCATAGCATAGCGTAGCTAATAAGTAGTCAGTAACCATAGTTATATAATGACTGGGCAAAAAAAAAAAACATAAGTGGTTAATGGCCATAGTTATAAGCCATTTGGATGACCCCACTAAATGGAGACTTACTAAGTAAGCTTATTAACTGATTACTAAGTGGGATCCTCCAAACATGACCAAGCATGATCCTATGGTCTATGGTGATAAGTTCAGTGAGGATTTCAGGTACCTAAACTGGAGGTACTGTACACTGTACATCACTGTACACTGTATGTATATATTTATATATAGAATATAGAGCCATATTTTGATATATTTTGGGGGTATATCCCCTTACACAGGCCAAAAATATATGGTAGCTCCAATGATTTTTCCTCACCTGAGTCATGGAAAATTGGATGGAAGCCTTGGATTCAGCAGTCAGGACCAATGTTTGGGAAAAGCAGATCTATAGAAAACCAATCCGTAGAAACCTGCTCAAAGCAAACTTCCGCTTAAGTTTCTGGGAGCTTTGGATACCCTGTGGAATCAGAACTTCGTCCTTACATGTTGCAGGAAAGGACTCGCAAAGACCACGTTCCCTACCCTTGCAAACTTGGGTCTGTGAGCCTTGGGAACGTTATCTAGAGCGGCCCCTTCTTTTGGAATCTTGCTTTCTCGGACCTGCTTTGGAGACCAAAACTTCGGGGAACCTGTGGCAATGTTGGGGACCTTGTCTTCGGTTTTTTCCCAAGCTATCACTGGTACGGAACCACCACTGAAAAAGCTTCACCATACCACTTCTAGTCGCTAGTGTCAACTTTTGCAAAAAAAATGCGATAGTTTTCTGGGGCGATCATACCAAGGAATATATATATATTATATTAAATATGTGAAACCACATCAACCGAACATGCGTTTGGCCTGCCAAGAAACCCAACAGTGACAATCACGAAGACCACACCTGAGTTCCCAACCAGTGCAGCTGAAAATTCATGGGAAATTCACAGGATCTTTCCAGGTGGAGTGGTGTAAACATCCGATTCTTGGGGAAAATCAATTCAGTAATAGCCTGTAACAGCTTTAAGTGATGTATGTCACCTTAGTTACAGGATCTTACAGGAGTTTCCCATTTAGTTCACCTGTGGCCAAAAATCAGTACATATCTGATATCAGCCAAGTCACAGGCCAAGCCGCAAGTGAAAATGAAAGGACCCACAGGATCGACAGTGTAGAGAAAGTTCCCCAAGACACCTCCTATGGTACCGCCCACTGCGTCAGCATTTCGGCATAACACTTGCAGATTCAAAAACAACTTGGGGTCTCCAAGGGAGTAGAAGAGGTTCATGTCCGTTGTCCATTTGGAGCTGTACACCTCAGACGTCATAAATCCTAAATGTATACGTCTCATGTGGTTAACACAATAAAAAAACATTCCCAAATTCACCATAAATGGGTGGTATAAACCATCAAAAAATAGGGGGTTACTATTGACAGTTTTTTTGACGCTGTCCCTCTGTTTGATCGACTTCCTATGATATCATTGAAATTGTGTCGTGTGTTCAAGCACGTGTCCTGCCCATGTTTTGCCCAAAGTGGTTTTGGGCTAGAGTCAATGCTTGGGGAACCCCAAGAACAAAAGAACTACTTTGAAAGGACAGCCAAGTAGAGATATATATATATATATACATTATTTATCTGCCAGAAGCAGAAAAGGTAAGAATCCAAAGAAAGAACCCTAAACTCAAACATAATAATTCCCTAAATAAATGGCTCCCCGATTAGATTAGATTAAATCAAATGATTTAGATTTGATTTAGATTTAGATTGGATTCGATTAGATTAGGAGATAGGTAGATAGAGAGCTGGAGAGATGGAGAGATGGAGATGGAGAGATCAAGAGATAGAGAGATGCTTTTGTTAATCATGTGTATGTGTTTTCCGGATTGCAAACATGTTATCAAAGTGTTGTAAATGTAAGCATTTTACCAAGAAACATAAGTCGTTCCCATGAGGACTTGTGCCGTAATGGCCAGCGGCAAGATGGGAGTGACCAGTCCACCGTTGAAGAGCACCCAAGTGAACACCTTGGACTTGCTTGAGCCCACAGAAAAACATAAAAAATGTGTAGAGATGGGTACATCCCTCTTGTTTGGTGGACTACCTATGACTAACTATGATTACTGGGAGAAATAGACTTAATAACATCTTCAGCAAATCCAAGACACAATCAATGAGAGGTTGTAGGGCATAGACGTGACATAGTGCAAATATCTTCCTGATTTGGGTGCTTCGCCAGCATTTTGACTCACTGGGATTCATCATCGATGTGACATACCCATTTCAAAGCCATTTTGTGCTAAAGCCACCCAAAGAACACCCCAAAATGGGAATCTCAAGAAAATTGCAGTTCCCACCAACAAGTTTCGAAAACAATCTAACTCGTCTGGATCATAGTTGTCGGAGACAAAGACTGGGATCACCTGCATTGCAATGGCAGCCATGAGGTCTCCTGCTGTCTGGGCCAGACCGGCCAGAGTTGCCTCGGCGCAGGCTGCGTCCACGGGCAAAGCTTGTGGAACCAACCAAAACTGGCAACAAACCTAGTAGAAACATAGGCTAGGAGAAACCACGAGCAGATGCGTATTAGAAGCCGCACACTGTTCAAAATGTTCAAAAAACAATCAGAACGGCATGCAGTGACTGAAAGAAAACCATGTTGTTAAAATAGATTATAGCCTATCTTAGAGTCCTAGAGTGTGCCACAAGAGTGTGATAGTGTGCCAACACAGCGTCTGACAAGAGCTACAAGGCTGTCTCAAATGTCGTCTTACAAGAGTCTCTTCCAGAATTGTTCCGCAGGAGTGCCTTACAACAATGTCTTACATGAGTTTCCCACAATAGTCTTCTGCGACAGTGTTTCACAAAGATTTTAGTAGAGAGTGTCTCGCAGGAGTTGCATAGCTAAACATCTGCCAGCGGCACCCTGCGCCCAGGCTCCAAAGCGCACACTACCATGACATCTTGCAGCAGCAGCACCCTACAGCAGCACCAGTGCCCATGCTCCAAAACGAACAAGCACCCTGCACCGGCACCAGCACCCAGCAGACACTCTTGAAATATATTAAATCAATACTGTGGGACAGTTGTGCAGGACTCTTGAGGGACAATCCTGTGAAGCACTGTTCTGGGACACTCTTGTAAGACACTCTTTAATGACACCACACCCTACAGGGGCACTCTCGTAAAGCTTCTGAACCCCTTTTTTGAAACAGCGTGGGGGGACACTTTTCCGGGGCACTCTTGTAAGGTAGTCTTCTGGGAGAGCCGTGCAACCGTGCAAGGCTCTTTTTTGAGACACTCTTCGGCCATTTGAGACACCCTGTCAAACACTCAAGTCTTGGCCAACTGCTGCGGCGCCCAGGCAGAATGACACGTCGCACCTGTTTTTGTAGCCCTATCATTGCGGCACCTTGAAATCACATACCAAATCAAAATGTCCCAATACATTTAACCTGCCGTACAAAATGACATTCTACTGTACTCCCTTGGGAACCTCACAATCCTGCAAATGCCACGTAAAATAAAACTCTCACGACGCAAGCGCTGCCACCCATTTTGCACTTCTGGTCTCCTTCGCGCAGCAGTTTCAGTGCGTAAAAAAACGTAACCCAATCATTATTTTTTTTTGTCCGAAAAAAGTATATGGAAGCACTGCGCCTGCCGCAAGGGTGCCCTCGCGAACCACACCAAATCTTGCCCCTGCCACGCAAAAGCTACATGAAACAACTTTGTCTTGCACGAACAATGCAAACATATTGCACCTGCTACACAAAATGCATTTCCTCATGCAGGCAGTCACGCCTGAAGGTATCAATGCCAATCCATTTTCATAGCTTTCTAATCCTAGGTCCTAGCCTATCCCCCTAATATGCTCAACGGATCCCAAGATGTGTAAACCCCGACTAAATTACATGTTGGGGGGAAAGGGTTAGACCTCAAGACGCCAGAATGACACGCTCCCTTCCCCCTACACAGCTTACTGATCTTACTGAAACCCTTTCCTATGCAATTGGAAATCAAATCAACGCGCCTGATCTTGTCATGTCTTCTGGGCAAAATTTGCTGGTTGGTGGTTGAACAAGCAATCCCCCAATATTCGGTCGAGCCTCTCAGCCGAGGTAAGAAAAATAAGAAAACCCATTTGTGATGGGAAAAAGTGGAGAATCGCCCATCTATTCCAAGCCGCTTCATTCCAGTTGTGGACCTCCTTAAAGTAGATGGCAAATGTAGAAAATTCAATGGAATAACCTTGGATTTGCTTTTTTGGATCCTGGGAAAGAGAACCTATTTCCTTAGATCCTGGATATCCTGGTGGATTTGGAAAAATGACACCGAGTCAGCTCCAAGTAGCTACTGTTGTTGCACAAGGAGCACAGCACGATCAAAGAGGCGGGCAACCTGGACGGGTGTCTGCGGGCTGCCCAAGGTGGTATACCCAAGAATATCACCAAAATCGCCATAAATGGGTTTCATAAACCATCCCCCAGATGGTAGGTTTATTCTGGGGTTTACCACATTATTGCTGGACTTTTTTGGAGGTCAAATAAAATGCCAATCTCAGTACCAGTCATGGCACCGTATATCGCTGGGAATGCCGCCAGACTTCGCTGGCGTCGGGTTTTCCTCCGGACCATCCTCTGTGTCCTCGTCCTCTACCGGCAGCCGCACTTTCCTTTTCTTTCCGCTGGCTCCCACGATTTCAGGCTGTAAAAGATTGCCTGAACACACAGAAACACGACAAGGTTTGCAGCATGTTTCTAGATGGAACAAACCCTTGTGGGAAAAGAATGGGAAAAAAACAAATATCGGGGAAAAAAACTAAACATTCCAGGTTGCTGGTCAAATAGTGGTGGCTAAAGTCTTGCCCAGCTTCAGACAAAGCCGTCACACGCGAGAAAGCAGAGACAACGCTCCCCCTCCCAGTCATGGCTGTGCGCCTGGGCAGAGATTTACCAATCATGTTTCGGAACAAACATACTCGAGTCCTTGAGTGTTGATTTTGCCATTTGGATCCATTTGGGATTATCATTCTAAAAATTGAGATTAAACGAAAAACTATGTTCTAGATAGGTTCCAGCCAAATTGTCGTCCACTTTGCCGAAACATGTCTCAGGAATTTTTAGAACTGGGTCGCTACACAAAACAGTACAAAACTGATGGTTCCAACACCAAGCAGCCCAGTTCTAGCGCTTTTGCCCGTTGCACTTGAACTCGGTGTTTCACGAGTCCCAGCAGAGGCCGCGCTGGCTCTGACTGGACTAGAAGCATGACTGGCCAGACTGCCTCTGGTTGCACGGCTGCTCCTGGAGGCCCGCGAAGCCCGCGAAGCTCGTGGGTTGCTAGCACGACTGCCTCTAACATGAGGTCGGCTGCCAATATTTTTGGGATCCTGGGATGGGCAGTGCGAAATCGGATGAATCGACAATCCCCATCAGACCAATCTGGTTTCCATATGATATCAAATGACCTGGAACCAGCGCACACACACACACACTGCTTAGCATGTTTGAAGAGGATGGATGTAGGTCTTGCCGTCGCCTGTTGCCTCAGTAACCTTCATACGGGGAAAAAACACATGACGCAAATAGCTGGTCGTTCTGTTTCGAAATGAAGAACGACTGCAAAGTCAAAACACGACACAGCTGGAAAAACACGTTGTTCAAACAGAATTGCAGGTACGTCAGGAAAGCGTCCCTTCCTGATTATCCTAGTCTGAAACCTGGAGCTTCGTTGCCCCACGCCAGGAATCAGACCCGTAGGCCCCCTGCACAGTCGAATTTTACCGTATGTGATAGCGGTTTTCACACACACACTTGCTCAGAAACATCTTATCGAATTACTGATGTGGAATGCATCGTACGTGCAAAAACACTTCAGTTAAACCTGACAGGAAGTAGTGAATGACCAGGCGTGAGAAACAGTGGAGAAGAATTCTTTCTACGTCCTTGCTAGATGCAACTGTTCCATCTGACGAAGTCAGCAGTAATTCAGATTGCGAAAACCGTACAGTTGTTTGGTTTGAAAAAAGTTGGAAAAACGACATGCCGGTACTAGGCTTAGCCGGTCGCCATAGACAGTGAAAACTTGGAGCAGGTACGCAGAGCTGATCAGGCTCTGTATCCCATACAATCAGGTAGCTTCGTTGGACGTGGTCCCTGATTGTATGCTACGTCCCCCTGCTAGATTACGGAAAATACCAAGGTAGAAGTTTTACATCTATTCAGATGTTCCACACACACGCCCCGCTGCCGCGGGGCATTTAAGGCCCCGACGAATGAGATGAAGGTGAAAATGAGAGAAATGGAAATGAAATGACGATGAAGATGAAATGACAATTACTGAACCGGAACACAAGAGGGGGAACGCAAAAAGGAAAAGGGAAGGAGAAAACACCAACACCAACACACCTAGCCCGAAACGGGCAAACCCTGAAAGGGCAAGGGAAAAGAAAAAGCGGACGGACGACGGGCCAAAAACCAACCAGAGGAGGGGGGGGCGGACAGAAGCGCCTGACACAACCTACAAGGCGAGAGCCAAAACCTACCTCGGCACGCGAAGGACCCAAACCTTGACCTAGAAAGGGAGCACACATGAGATAGGGGACCAATGGGGACCTAGTTGATGAAAAATGATGCATCCACATTGCATGCAAGATTCGTGATAAGGCTCAAAGGCCCTCGGCATTCAAGTCACAATCCTTTGGACGGCTTACGTGTTCAACCCCTGAATTAGGTGCACAATTTCAACCTCACCGAGAAACCAAAAAAGAAAGATATCACACCTTGAAAGCATGTCCTGTTGCCTGTTCATGTCAAAATGGCTGCGAATATGCGCTTGAGCTTCACTGGAAAAGGAGGTTGTTGTCGCGGCTTCCAACTATGCAAAAAGAAGGTTCAGAAACGGTGAGACCCTGGTACAGCGGGCAGCAGTTTCAACACAAACGACATCGACAAGTGAGACCAGGAAAAGGGCCAGCAGTTCACTTTACTTAAACGAATTACTAATTCAAAAGTGTAAATTCAGAGATCGTTTTACAGTCAATTGTTAGCCTAGAAAGGCTTTCCCCGAAGGGCTCATACCACCTTGTCGGAAATCGGCATGAGTGACACACTTGCTCAGAAACATCTTATTGAATTACTGATGTGGAATGCATCGTACGTGCAAAAACACTTCAGTTAAACCTGACAGGAAGTAGTGAATGACCAGGCGTGAGAAACAGTGGAGAAGAATTCTTTCTACGTCCTTGCTAGATGCAACTGTTCCATCTGACGAAGTCAGCAGTAATTCAGATTGCGAAAACCGTACAGTTGTTTGGTTTGAAAAAAGTTGGAAAAACGACATGCCGGTACTAGGCTTAGCCGGTCGCCATAGACAGTGAAAACTTGGAGCAGGTACGCAGAGCTGATCAGGCTCTGTATCCCATACAATCAGGTAGCTTCGTTGGACGTGGTCCCTGATTGTATGCCACGTCCCCCTGCTAGATTACGGAAAATACCAAGGTAGAAGTTTTACATCTATTCAGATGTTCCACACACCCACACACACACTAGACAAGAATGGATCTTTGAAAAGATCCGTGAGGAACTGAGTCCTGAAACATGCAATTGGATTGTTTATTTGATTGTTTGTTGGGGTTCTTGGCTTAGCCCCTTGCCACGTCAGTATAAATCACAGGGGTCATTGACATATAAACCAACAGCATTAAGAGTATAAAGAGCACGTCAGTAAAAATCACAGGAGTCTTTGACATATAAACCAACAGTGTAAAGAATATACAGGTGCAGGTACGTCAGTGCTGGCCGGGCACTGATATCACGTCCACTTGGTGCGGTCTTTGTTAGATGAGGCACACCAAGGGACCCTCATCCCCCTGCGTTATTAAAAAGGGAGAGGACAGAAGGAAGAAAAAGAAGAGAAAGTTTTACATCTACAAAGATGTTACACACACACGCACACACACACACACCCGGCCGGAGCCGGGTCAACCCTGAAAGGCAAGAGAAAGAAAAAAGCGGACACAAACGACGGGCAAAAAGCCAAAACAGCGCAGGGGGGAGGGAAACGAACGGACCTCCAGAACCAACCTACGCGGCGAAACGGACCTGACCAAAACAGAGCACAAACCTAAACCCCACGACACATTACGGAGAGGCACGAAGGGAAAATTAGGGACCAAATGGGGGACTAGTTAATGGCAAGCGAGAGAAACCAAAACAATTAATTTAAAACAGGACTCAGCTCCTACACCTAGTCGTGCGTTACTCCCTTGCCGGGTCCGTGGTCAAGTCGTGCCGCAATGGCATAAACGGCTTTCAAGTTCCATCGAATTAGGTGCACAATATGTTGGACCTCACCAGAAAACCATCAAAAGAGGGGAAAAAAAACACCTGGAACTGGAAAGCATGTGCCTGTTGCCTTCTGTTGGGGTTCTTGGCTTAGCCCCTTGCCACGTCAGTATAGATCACAGGAGTCATTGACATATAAACCAACAGCAAAAAAAGTATAGAAGCAGCAGTGACAAAAAAGGAGTTTCTGGTTGTTCCGATTGGCTTCACTCAGAGAAGACAACATTTCACCAGGGTTTTCAAGGGACAGCAGGATCGGCGGGACTTCGTGAAAAAGGTGCATAACCGAAGGCCAACTGTTTCACTTTACTTAAACGAATTACCAAGTTAAAATGTGTGAATTCGGAAGTCAAGTCTGTCCACAGTCACCCACAAAGGGGTTGCCTCCATTGGCCCTATGGCACCTTGTCGGAATCACCATAGGAATCACACTAGACAAGAATGGATCGTTGAAAAGATCCGTCAGGAACTGAGTCCTGAAACATGCAACTTGAGAGGGGGAACACGAAAGGTAGGTAAGCAGAAAGGAACCGAAGAAAAAATGAAGGGGAGAGGGCAGGGAAACAAACATAAAGTGGAGTCTGGTAAAAGCGACGCGGCCAGTTTCTTTCCAAAAATATGAAGGGGAGTCTGGTAAAAGCGACTGAAAGGCTTCCGCGATGTGGTTGGGGTTGGTGGCGGTTGTGGTGTTGGTGGTGTTGGTGGTGCTGGTGGTGTTGGTGTTGTTGGTGTTGTTGGTATTGGTGTTGTTGGTGTTGTTGGTGGTGGTAGTGTTTCTGGTTGTTAGTGTTGTTTGTGTTGTTTGGTGTGGTTGGTTTTGTTGGTAGTGTTG